TAACATGAAATGTACTTCTAAAAGGTGATAAAAAAGAAACAATGATGGGATAAATTAAGTTCACACGAAGAGAATACATTCAAATTGAATAGAGACGTGAATAATAACCGTCATTTTATTTGATTAATTCAGCATTTTAGAAGTACGTAATATAATCAAAATGGCTATTCCAATTTCAATCATGTAAATAAAGACAAATCAATTAATTATCTTGTGTATGTTGTCAATTATTTAGTTCAACTTTTAATATCATATATTTGAATAAAAATTTAAATTAAACACTAGGATAACGTTAGTTAAGTAATTTAAAAGAATACCATATTTTTAGATATCAAAACTTATCTTTATTTGAAATAATTGCGTGTCTATATTTGAAGTAATTGCGTGTCTAACTTACTGAAAATTGATATGGTAATTATCATTAGTTCCAGGGTTGCAAGATTTCGATTCGATCCGTTTTGCAACATATAGATGTGCATGCAAATTACGCTTTATCCAAAAAAAAACTAATGGTATGTTTTGCGTTAGAATAAAGTCAGAATAATTATTATTATCTTAGACCGTAATTCTTTAGTATCATTTCGTTATAAATCGTTATTTATTAGGTTTATGCTTGTTTCAATTGGAATTACCCTAACAGGTAGAGAGCTATTTTGATAAGAGAAAGAAGAAGTTTCATTGCATTTTTTCATTCTGTTTTATTTTTATGGTACCATAATTTTCATGATTTATTAATTATAATTAGTGTATATACATTTTTTCCAAGGAAGTTTAAAATATCAGTAGTTCAGTTGGTATCATCAAAATTTTAATTTGAAATTTTGATTGAAAAACTATAAAATAGAATGTCCAATCATCTATTTTCTATTATGATACAATAACGAATTAATAATTAATATATGTTAATCTATAAGAAACCTATTTCTTCTATCTCATTTATTCCTAACCTAATGATAGTAATATCCGACATTATGGTCGAGGAACTTCAACATCCTTAGGATTTGTTTTATGAGTATCGTTTGACATACTTTTTAGCTTGCCATATCGTTCTTTGCTCCAAGAGGTTTAAAATTTATCTCTCTCTCCCTCTCACTTTTTATTTTGTTTAACTTGCTGAAAATAATTTTTCTTCTTTTTGCAGTACATCTCGTAGATATATGGAATATGATTGAATCATTCCGCGAAAACGGATTAAATGCACTTCCAGTTACTTCACAGGTTTATTGCTTTCAACTGTTCATTTGTGAGATGTTGCTCTTATAGCTGAACTTGTGGTTTGCTTAACTATTACTTTTTTTGGATCGAATGAATTTAGTATCTTTTTTTCAAAGTTTTCAAAATAAGTGAAGTATTTTTCTCTTCTAACAATCAAGCAAAGGAAAAAAAAATTAAATAAGGTAAGATTTAAAAAAATGGAAAATACGAATGCTATAAATCCATATTATCACTACAATATCGTCATCCTTGTGCTGCCCATCATATATTTAAATTTGAATTTTGGAATAATTAATAATGGGACATTAGAATTAATGGAATATTTACTATGAAGAGTCGAAAAAAAAGATTAAATATTTTGTTTTGAATGTAAATGAATTTCATTTATTTTGAAGCAATGATTTTTTTCTAAGTTTCTGGTTAAATTATGAAATATTTTGGAATTCTAATAACAAAGTTAAATCTGGACTGTTCTTAGCGCACTGAAAATATTTCAGTACAAACATTTTGCACCTGACCTTTTTTTTTTCTTCACTTCATTTTATCTTGTACATCTATAAAATTACTGCATAATTATAGGTGAAGATCTCCAGATTGGAATTATTGCTCGCAACAATTTTTCATAATTTAAATAAACGTTTACCCAGTGCACAACACATCGATACCGATAAATCTGTTTCACTTTTGCTTAGCTTTCTCGTCGGTGCGTATGACAGGTTGTATTTGTTAATGATGAAGAGAAAAATAATGAAAGAAATGCTTACTACGATTTTAATTTGAGAAAAATCTTTCATATCCTAAATGTTTTAGCTAATTGTTTGGAATCACTACATTAGTGCATGTTCGAAGAAAAAAAAAGAAACTCCGTTTATTAGTGATTCTGGGAAAAATAGCTTTTTGAAACTTCAGTAGATTTTTTTTATTCATTTTATAAGGAATTTTATTTTTAGACAACAAACTGGTCGTTTAACAGTGTTTGCTATCAAAATAGCTCTTGCTACATTATGTGCTGGTAAATTAATGGACAAATTACGATGTAAGTAGAAGTTTTTCTTTTTTTAATGATATCAACTTGAGACTAAAGTTTGATTTGTTAATCTCACTTCATAGTTTATTACGCATCAAGGTTTCTGGAAAGTTTTTTAATTGCTTTTTTTCATTACGTAATAGTGAGTAGGTCATTGGATTTTTTTGTATAACATCTAGAATGACAGGCAAGATAGAAAAATGACGATAAAAATATTTAGGCATTTCTATAGACTTTGGTATTTCAAAGATAAATGTGTTCGCACAAATTTTTTCGCATCAAGCCATAGTAGCAATCAATTCGAAGAATATAGGATTAATTTTAAAAACGTTTTGAAAACTTTAAAATTAAGTTATGATGTTGACATTTTATTCGAAGTTACGAATTTGATAGAAGACATGAGGTTTGGATTGTCACTATTACTTTTAATTTTTCCGTAATTTGAAAACCGTAAAAAAATGATGAAAGATTATACGATCTGAATTTTTGCTGAAGTCGAAAAAGTAAATGGACTTAACTTATGTTCGTTGATTATTCATGTTATTTTTCAATTTATAATTGTACTCTTAGCAGTTTCTTATAAAATTATTAATTTTTCAGATACATTTTCGCAAGTATCTAATAGTAGCGGTACAATGGAATGGGATAAATTTTGTGGTTATTTACAACAAGTTTTAGCCCTCGCCACAGCTGTTTTTGAAGGTCCAACATTTGGTTATACAGAAACAGCAGTGACACAATGCTTTCAGAAGGTTTGTTTGTTGGTTTACATGAATTTTGCTCCATTTTACCGTAAATAAAAATGTAATCATACGAATGTATTTTACAAAAAACTTTAAACGAGAAAGAAACTTAAAAGGAAAAACTTGACCAAAATACCTAGGTTTTTATTGAAATCCAATTTGGACAGAATTATTCAATAGGAAGGCTAGTAATTGAATAATGAATATAGAGCGTGATGAAATTGGAACTCAAAGATAGGATGAAATCGAGACATGAAAAATGGTTGTGTTGGATATGTTAGGTCAATCAATACGTTACATAACAAGTGTAAAGATAAGATAGTGTTGATTTATTTATTTCATTATTTACCTCTCGAATTCTGGTAAAAATATCAATACATATCAAAATATATAAGGGTAATGATTTAAAATACCTCAGTATTATTTTCAGGATCAACGGGTAAATTTGAATGCATTTCTGGATGTGATGTTAGCTGATCCTTGTCCGCCATGTTTGATGTGGCTACCATTACTGCATCGGATGGCAAGTGTTGAGCATGTTTATCATCCGGTTGTTTGTGATGCTTGTCAGGTAAAACTTTTTGTTTATAATCCTGAATATCTTATTGACCTTACTGTTTGAAAAATTGTGGAAGTTAGAATTTTAGTCTAATTTCGGTTATTTAATTTAATTATGGCAAGCTCTAATTGATGTGAGTAAATAATCATATCATCATGATCTATCCAATAGCAAACAATCGAATTGTTCTAGGGAAGGAAGAAAATGACGGTAAAAGAGGAAGAGGGGAATGGAAAGATAGAAAGAACATAATATATTCGTCCGTCTTTTTTTTTCATTTCCAGTGTACAATTCGTTCGAAGTTAGTAGTTTGAACGTTCGAAGTGGGAGCAGCTATGGCTTTTGGCAGTCAACTGCCAAAAGGATACTGATCGGCCTTAATAAAAGTAGAAACAAATAACATAAAAACAACCAAAGAACCAGAAAATTGATAAGAAACACTACCCAAAGAAAACAAAATAAAACCTAAAAAATAAAAAAATACAAATACGATTAGGAAAGTCCTCATTTTTGATTTAATAAGTTTGAATTAATTTAGGCTGTAATTAAATCAAGTTAGATTAGGTTTAGAATGTCATTGGGAATTGCTTGTTTGGGATAATATCTAGGTTTAAAAAAAGAATTAATATTTTGAGTTAATTTTGCTTGTAGGTTCGGTCATTTACTGGTTTTCGTTACAAATGTCAGCGTTGCACGAATTATCAATTATGTGAGCAATGTTTCTGGCGTGGACGGACAAGTTCATCACATTCCAATGAACATGAAATGAAGGAATATTCCAGTTATGTGAGTAAATTTTTCATTTTACTTTGAGTAAAATTTCAAGCAATATGTGAATTATTGAAACACGAAATGAATGATGACAAGAATTAACGATACCGTTAACTTTAGCATTTGGATGGGTAATGTTTTTGAATCTGTTTTTGTGAATCGATCAGGAAAACGAAATTTTTTCTGGAATGCGGCTTATTTCAAGATTTTGTGTAATTCAAATAGTATCAACGATGATGAGTAATATCATTAAAAATGTTAATTCTTGTTTTTTTATATTTAGATATGCTATCTTTTTTAACTTTCTAAAGCAAGAGTAAATTTTTCATTTGTATTTATAGAAAGGAATATCGTATCAAGCAGAGTAGATATTAACACTGAAAAGCAGTGAAATCGGATATAAATTAAACCTAAAATTATTCTAAAAATTTGATTTTTTTTCATCAGCGAATAAATATCAAACGAACAGTGATGAAAATTAACGAAATCGTCACGAATATTTTATTTCACTATTATAAACTATGAAACTTAGCCATTTCAGAAATCACCGACCAAACAGTTAGCGCATTCCATACACAAATCGTTGCGTTGTGTACCAGTGCCTAATCGTTCCACACATCCAATATTTCCAGAACGTCCAGAACGACCTCTTGATCTCGCCAATATTTTGCCAATAACGCCAACAACATCTAGAAGACGACTTTCAGAAGGTCTAAAAGATTGGAAAAATCAAATTTTGCCTGGACAATATCCAGTAACTAACGGCTCTACTATGGATGATGAGCATAAATTAATTGCTCGTTATTCGGCTAAACTTTCCGGTCGGACACAGGTGATTACACAGAATATAATTCATTTAAAAAGGAGTATGCTTAATGAACCAAACTCCTAAAGCTGTGCATTTTAATAGAAAAAATTAGCCGTTCATCTTTTTTTACGTTGCAATTTTTGGAACTTTTTAGTTTGAAGTACGTACTTAGTTTCGTTAATTAATTTATGATTTGAGTAAAAAAAATAAATTTAAGTATCCATTCGTTTTACCGAAAGATCGAGCAACCAGTATGGATGAAAATCTTAGTGAGAAAACATTAATCGCAAGACTGGAAGAAGAGAATGGTGAAATGATGCGAGAAATGGAAATGTTGAAGCAGCAACAAGTGATATTATTTTCTTTTCCTTTTTTATCTGTGAAATTAAAAATGTAAAAATAAGATCTATTAGCGAAATATGAATTTATGCTTTATAATTTTTTTATTAATGTTTAAAGACATATAAAAGGATTAAATTTTTTCCATATTTAAGTGTGATTCTTTCTTTTTAAATTCCACAATTATTTCGATGTTTATATATTATTCCCGCTTAAGTTTTATTATTTTCCAGGAATTAGAAAATACAGATGAACAGCTGAATAGTTTACGCGAACGAAAAGCTCAGCTTGAAGAAAAAATGCGTATTATGCAACAAACACGACGACAACTAATGCAGCAATTAGAGGTGCTTATGTCAGAACTAAACGTAAGATAATTAATTTTAATTTTGCTTATTCTTAAATTTATATAGATTAAAATGGGTTCCATCTTAAATCAGCAGTTTTTCTTGTACTTTATTGAAATTATTGAAGGCTTTGTATGAATGAGTTTATAGAAAATTTCTTAAATTTAAAAATGCTCGATAAATATTTGTAGTTTCTGCAAAATAAGTTTTAAAATTCATGAAAAAATCCAATCTGTAGGAAATTTTAAAAAGTATGAAATAAAAGTGTATTAATTTTTTTGAATTTAAGTTCAAGTACAAGGATTCTTTTAAAAAAAATATCATGATTCATAGTTTCTTTTCGTTGTATATTTATATTCATCAGAACCAACGCTGTCATGATTCTTTAAAGTTTCTTTTCTCTTTGAAGGCAGAGATCGTAAAATGGTCTCATTTCCACCTGTGATAGTCTGAAACATGTCAGTACTCTTGTTGTATGGATGAAATCTACTGATAAGGCTATTATTCACTCCTTGAAACCTGTTCCTAACAAAAAGTGATCTTGTTTGTGAAGTGCGATTAATCGTTCTTCTCTTTTTTGCAGCAATCAAAAGGTGGAAGTATGGGTGCTATACCGGAATCACTAACCGGCATTGGAAGCCGTGTTTCGACCGCATTCCGAGATCGCGCAATGCAAAGAGCTAGTTCAGTACCTGCAGCTCAGTTACAAGGTGATCTGCTTCATGCAGCTGATGATATAACAAATAACATGAGCACATTGCTCAGAGAACTTGGTCAAGGTTTGAATTTTTGAAATTTATTTCCTTTTCTTATTAATCGATATTTAATGAATTAAACGCTATTAGAAGGAATTGCATACTTGTCGGATACTACAAAGATCATGTAATTCTTTTGTGATTTGTTTAGTTAAGCTTTTACTTTTCTGTATAACCTTCGTCTAATATTTTTCTACTTGAGCAGATGGTCATAATCTGTCTTAGTGAACAGTTTGCGTATTTTAATAGGATTTTTCTCATGACTATGATGGTATAGTTAAATAAAGGAAGTTATTATTTTCTTTTTTGAAGTTCTTATCAATTTGGAAGAAATTGCAGCAAAAATTTTCTTTATCTTTTGCTTTCGAGCATTCAACCCTTCTCTTTCTAATTTTACTTTTAATCTTTTCTTGCAATTTTTTTGTCACTTACTGCTTGAAGATAAATTATATTTTTGGTGACAAGAAACTAATATTTTCATTTCATTATCAAATAATTTGAATGAATAAATGAAGTTGATAAAAATAAGCGGACAACGGATTCATAGAATATTTTTCAGCTCAAAAAGATGTTGTAAATGGTGATAATGGAACAGAAAGCGGTTAGATATCGATTTTATTAAAACGAATTGGAACGATCTGTTTGCTGGTGAAGAATTTTTATTTATCATAGATTGTTTGATACTCGTTTATCAAAATTTATTTAAATGTCTTGTAATCTTTCTGGATCATTCTCTGTCTGCACGCACTACTAATTCTATACTACAACTATATTTAGGCATTT